GAGGTCGATGGTGTGTAGGGGTCGAGAGGACTTGGGGTAGCCACCGACACAGCGGAGGTAGTAGGCATACAGAAAGAGCGGTTGTCCGGCAGTCGGTAGCTGAAGACTGAATACACCAAGGGCAAAGTAAGATCTCAGTAAAATCCCCAAGTTAAAAAGATGTGCAAGGGGAATGGCGATAACATACATTAGGTGATGAAGTAATTCATGCAAAATCATAAGCGAAATTGGTTTTTGACTGGGCAGTTAAGCGCATATTTGGTCAATAAGACAGATAAAGACAGAAAACCAGCTCGATGTACTTATTTTGGCACCCGTTCGTGCTTCTTACCGCAAACCGTACCTTCAATTTAATCAGCGATTTCAAGGAACAATTTAATTGAATTTAGTCCAATAATTTCAGTTATTAACATGCACTTGATGAAGGAGAAACAGTACTTACCTGGTAATTCCCCATATGTCTGTCTGGCTTCCTACTTCGCGCATGTTTTGGCTGGCCGAAAGTGCTTATTTCGGCTACTGGTATTTCATTGGCCGCCAGCACAGCGGCTCGGGTTTGCGTGTCCTTGAGACCAGATATTCAATTCCCTGATTATTTTCCCTCCAATTGCCTTTCGTGGCTTAATTTTCTTGGTTTCCACGCTGCTTTTTCCCTATTTTCACTCGTAAAACAAATTGTTTTGCGGATTTTTAGTTCATTAAAACAAATTTAAGCGGCTGTACGTAATTTTCTTAGTTTTTGGAATTATTACGCTCTCTTTCTTCCCCTGATATGCCCCACCCATACTATCCCCTATTACCACTCTCCCGTCTTGGAGTTGGGCGCGCTTCGCGCGCACTCACACGACCCCATGACACAATCCTACCGAATTTTGCTCTAACGAGTGGATTTGATCCAGAGCAAACCTTTTCCTAAGGAAAACTGTCTGTTTACTTCAGTTTATTTAAGGGTAACAAGCACAATTTTGGCAAAATCAGAAGTTGGCTGATATCGAATACAATTTCCTAAGACAGTTAGTAGGATAGAACCAAACCTTCTATTTTTATGCGTTGTGCTATGGGAGAACCCCAATAAAAAAACAAAAAAATTTAAATGATATCCTGTTCAGAACCGGAACATCTAGTCTAAAGATGATGAAAATAAAATGAAACCAAGTTACAGGAACCGCATTGATTTTTTCCGAAAAGCAAGGGACTAGTTCAGTTTTAAAAGTTATTTTTTGCACAGGTTTCTTCAAAAAACGCGGTAAACAAAAGTTGCTCGTATTTTGTCTTTTACGTAAGCTAGAAATGGAACAGACAGAAGATTAAGAGTTTTTGCAAAATAATA